CAGCGGCGGTCGGCTCGAATCCCGTCCTGGAGCAGCTCATCAGATGGACACGGTGGACCTCTCCTCGCTCTCGGGGGCCAGCTCCATCGGCCTGGGCTATCGTCAGATGCGGCGCGCCATCGATGCATGCGGAGCCAACCTCGACATCCTGCGCAACGGCGCGGGCTGCGCCGCGCCGGAGGTGGCGATCGCAACCGTCAAAGCTGACCTGGGCGAGTGGAAGGACTGGGCCCGGAGCTCGGTCAAGCACAACGTTCGCGAGGCGCTTCGTGGAAGAATTGCCGCCGCAAGGCGGCCGTCGCAAGGCTGCGCGGCCGTCTCCGCCGCGCCGCAGACCGACCCTCGGGCCAGGAGTCGACCGCGTCAACCCGAAGTCATTTTTACATGCTCGACGATGAGTTCGCGCAGCGGCTTATCGTCCTGACGACGACTTGGGAGGCGGGGCCCAGGTTGTCGCAGCGCTGACCCACCCTCGCGGTCTCTGCGCCCAAGCCCGACGGCCTGGGCGCCAGGCCCGCAGCCCCCGCTCTGCTCGGTCCTGCGCGCGCGGGGCAAGGTCAGGCGCGCCCTGGCAATGGGGCGGGGGGCCCACTCGGCCCCCCTGTGTTTCGGGGGCAGAAGGTTCGAGAATGCGACGGGGCGGGCTGGGCGCGGCAGGCCGTTGTCCATTCCGCTCGCTAAAAAGGGTTTCAGACCTCGACGTTGGCGACGGACCTAGACAACTTTTACCAGCAGGTGTGCCATGCTCTGCTGCTCGCAGAGGCGGAGGCTCGCGGCTGCTCGCTCGAAGTGACTCGAGCTGCTTGCGCCTTGCATGCAGGGCCGAGGGCCATCGGCCATCTGGGTTGCGCGCCCACTTCGTCCGAGGCCCGTTGCACGGTTTTGGCAGGGCGCTCTTTGGCTGCGTCGCTGGCGAGGGTGCTCGTCTACAGGCTGCTGGCGTCTCTGGCGGCGGAGCGCCCGTCGGTCAGCCTTCGGAACGTCGTCGATGACATCTCGGCGCAGGCCGTCGGGACCAGCTTCAATGTCGCCTTGGAGCTCGGGGTCGTCGGGGGCAAGCTCGCGGCGGGCCCCCGCCAACTGCGCCTGGCGCCGCCCGAGAAAAAGTGCGCGTTCTTGGCCTCGCCTCGCCGGCTCGCGGACAAGTTGCCGGCCAAGTGGAGGGCGGCCTGCGCGCGCAAGGGCGCGATGAAGTGTCTCGGGGCCACGCCAGTAGGAGCGCCGCCATGGCCTCTCAGCGGGTCAGACTATGCCTCGAGAGGTCCGCTAGGCAGGAAGCTCCGGCGCGCGGGGGCCTCAGAGGGCCGCGCCCGGCGCTCGGAACGGACCGGGCCCGCGGGCGGGCGCCGCCCCGTTCCGTTGCATGTGAAGCATGTGGGTTTTTTTTTCAACGGCATCGGGCTCTGCGGGATGGAACCCCGAGGAACTCGCTTCTGCGGGCCATCTTTGCAAATGCCGCTCGCGTGCTAGCCGGCGCGAATCGGTCGCGGAGTCGCGCTGAGTCGCCCGCCCGCGCGCTCACGATGGCGCGCGGGGACTTGGGCTGGACTGCGCGCTCGGCGCGCTCGCTCACGCTCGCCACTCACTACCGGCGAACAGTCAAACCGATTGCGTCTTTCCCATGTTGCCGTGGCTGAGCTGGCCGCGCCGGCCGCCTAGGAAATTTTGGATTTTCAACCCCTGGGGCCCCGAGCTGGAGCTGGCTCCTGGCGGCGACCTGCGCCCTGGCATTTCTCCATGCCCCCCCTTCTGTTTCTGCCCATGGTTTTTTTCTGTTGGCTCGCGCGACCGAAGCGCGGACTGAGCGGCGCCGAAATTCACTGCGGGCCGCCGCTTCGGGCACCCACTGGCCTCGAGAGAGGCCGCTTCGACATGGGATCGCGTCTTCCCCCAGGCGTCGGCTGCGCCGTGGCGGGCCAGGGCCTCAGCTCCATCGCGGATGCAAATGCGTCGCGCGGCGGGCGGGCCGAAGGCACTTCCTATCGGATGAGCGCATGGCCGCGACGCGCCCGGCAGAAACCCGGGGGCAGCTGGATACATCCTGTCGCGACAGGAATTGCGCCGCGCCCCCACGAGCTCGCCCCCCGCCCCCTTCGTTCTGAGCGGCGCAGTGTGTCCTGGGTCCAACGGCCCGCCGACGGTTTACTCGCGGGCAAAGAGTTCACCGGCGATCGACCTCGCACGACTCCGAGCCGATGCTGCGTCGGGCGGGCCGGTCCGCGGTCGGCGCGGGCAGCTCGGGGGCGACGATGGCCGCGGCTTCCGGCTCTATTCCCTTCGTATTCCCGCGGGGGGGGGGGGGGGCATATGCTCTGCATGTCTGTAAAGTGCGCCACGCTGTTGGGGCGCCTGTGATCGCGGGTCCTCGTTTCATGTGTTGCGTGGCTTGTGGGGCCTTCGCCTGGGGGGGGCGTTCGGGGCCTCGCGCAACCGCGCTGTCCCGCGACGGCTGTCTCTGACTTGCGCCAGCAGAAGAGGAGGATCCAGCTCAGACGGTGCCCCCGCTGGTTGTCCAAGCATATTGGGCGGGGCTTCGGCGAGCCCGAACTCCCATCGGCAGTTGAGTTGACATCGATGGCGGCGTCGGTCCTCTCCCGCCCCCGCCCTCCCGCTCCCCTTTCAAGACCGTTCTTCGGCCAGGGCCTCCCCGGGCTTCATCCTGGACGCAAAGTCGGTTGCTGGAGCGTTTCGGCGTGGGCGCCGCACTGGGCCACTGGGTCCTGCAGGCCCGCGCCCTCCCCGCGGGGGAGCAGGCCAGGCCTGGGGGCGGGAAGTCTCTCGGTCGGGGGGCGAGGGGGTCTTCATTGTTTGCGTTTGGCGGCCTGGACGCCTTTCGCAACCTTTTTATCTGAACTCCTCATCCTTCTCCTTTTCCTCCTCTCTTCTTTGCCGTATTAGTATTATTCCTATTATTAGTCGGTTTCGTATTCTGTCTGTTATTCTTATGCGTGATATCGTTCTGCTGATTATTGTTAGTGGTGCTCCTCTTCGCCTGCCTAATCTTCTTCATAGTATTCAGATAATTGTATTATTCGTGTTAATGTTCTCATTATTGATAGTGTTCTTATGGTTCATATTCGTATTATTACTCGTTTATTACTATAGTGTGCAATACTATTACCCTTCGTATTGTTATGGTTGATCCTTGTCATACCAGTATGATTGGTAATGTTCTTACTGCCCGGCTTATTAGTATGCCTCCTCCCCCTCCTCCTCCTCCTCCTCCTCCTCCTCCTCCTCCTCCTCCTCCTCCTCCTTCTGGTCTTACTCCTCCTTCTCAATATCCACCTCCTCCTCCTTCTCCACCTCCTCCTTTCCTCCTCCTCCTCCACCCCCTCCTCCCCCTCCTCGAGTTTCATCCATCCCCGTTCCTCGTCGTCGTCATCCTCCTCCTCCTCCCCCAATCTCCTCCACCTCCTCCTCCCCCTCCTCCTCCGCCTCCTCCTCCTCTCCTCCATCTCCTCTTCCTCATCCTCATCCTCCTTCGCCTCATCATCATCATCCTCCTTCTCCTCCTTCTCCTCCTCCATTCCTTCGTGTTATAAATAAATTGTCCATGTCGCGCCCCGAGGCCGGATTTCAGGGCGGGCCGAGCGTTTCGCCTGAGACTTCCCCACCATGTATGCTTCTGAAGCTTAAAAGTGGCAGCCGCTTCACAGATGGAGGGCGGGCGGTTCTCAAACTGCGGCTCTCGCTTTAGCACCGCGCACATTCGTATGAAACGTTTGCAAGAGTGCCACGGATTGAGGGCGGCTCCTTTTCAAAATGTGGCTCTCGCCTTAGCGCCACGCACACTCGTTTTTTTTTCAAACATTTGCAAGAGCTTCACGGATTGAAGGCGGTGCCTTTTCACAATGTGGTTGTCGCTTTAGCGCCGCGCCCATTCGCTCATAACATTTGCAAGAGTTTCACGGGCTCCTATGGTCAACATACCAGGCATGGTGCTTGGCAAAGATTCAGGGGCATGCGGGTGCAACAGTTATGTTGGTCCGCATTGTTGAAATCACAAAAATGGCGTGTTGGCCAGACTCCAGATCGCCAAGACGCAGCAGTCACCGTTGAAATCCAAAGGACAATGCATTGGCATGTCTTCCAACGAGGCAGTTCCCTCAATGACAATGAGCCGTTGTAGGGGCCTATGAGAAGAGATTTTGGAGGGAGGGCTAATTCCAGCATCGTTGATGATTCTTTCGTTTACACAGGTCCCCGTCCTCCTCCTCCTCCTCCTCCTCCTCGTCCTCCTCCTCCTTTTCCCACTTCCTCCGCATCCCTCCGCATCCCTCCGCCCTCTCCTCCTCGTCCTCCTCCACTTCCTCCTCCTCCTCCTTCTCCTCCTCCTGCTCCTCCTGCTCCTCCTGCTCTTCCTCCTCCTCCTCCTAATCCTGCTGCTCCTGCTCCTGTTGCTCCTGCTCCTGCTCCTGCTCCTGCTCCTGCTCCTGCTCCTGCTCCTGCTCCTGCTCCTGCTCCTCCTTGATGTTCATCCTTTTCCTCCTCCTCACCATTATCCTCATCCTTTTTCCGCCTCCTCCCCCTCCTCCTCCTCCTCCTGCTCCAGCTCCTGCCCTGCTGTTTCCACCTCTCCTGTTTCCCCTCCTCCCCACCTACCCCTCCTCCTCCTCCTCCTCCCCTCCACCCTCCTCCTCCTCCTCCTCCTACCTCTCCTCCTACCCCCACCAGCCCCTCGACCACCTCGACTCCTCCTCCTCCCCGTCCTCCTCCTCCTCATCCTCCTCCTCCTCCCCTCCTGCTCCCTTCCCTTTCCTCCTCCTCCCCGTTTTCCTCGTCCTCCTCCTCCTCTTCCTGTTCCTTCTGCTCCTGTTCCTTCTGCTCCTGCTCCAGCTCGTGGTCCTGCTCCTCCTCCCCCTCCTCATTCTCTTCCTTCTGTTCCTCCTCCTCCTCCTCCTCCTTCCCTCCTCGTCATCGTCCTCGTCCTCCTCCTCCTCCCTATCTTCCTCCTCCTTTTCCCCTCCCCTCCGCGGCGACATCCCCCACCCAACCGCCTTCACGCTGCAGTCCACGACCGCGACGTAGGCTGCCCGCGCCTTCTCGGCAGCCCGCGCCGCTCTGGCTGCCCTGACCCCCCTTCGCCGCTCGTCGGTTTCTTGCTGCTGCTGCTCCTCTGCAACCATGACATAAGACGAAATTTAAGAGGAAACGTACCCCTACAAACACAAGATTTCGCGGGTCCGGGCAGAGCTCTTGGGATGGCGTTGGGCCCCCGCTGGCGAGTTTCGTGCGCCAGGAGCGGGGGCCAAGTCTTGCCCAGAAAAAACGCACGCACTTCGTGTTCGCTCTTCAAGCAGCTCCCCTTGCCCGTCACCATTCTCCGCCTCTACGCTCCACATATTTCCCCCTGCGTTGTCATCCTCGGCCTGCTGTCTCTCACCCGCCTCCATCATGTCCCCATCCCCATCCCACGTATCCTCGTCATCCAACTTCACCTCATCCGCTTGCTCTCCCTCGCCCGTCACCTCAATCTTCCCCTGCTCCTCCACCCCTTCCTCTTGGGTTGCTAAGATGCACCTGGACCCCATCCAGCTTTTCTCTCCATTCTGGAGCCCCTCGGGCCCCCTGGGCCTCGTGAGAGGTGCTCTGGAGGCCGTTGGGGCCTCCGTGGACATCCTGGGGGCACCTTGGGCCAGGGGCACCTCTGGCAACACCCCACCTTCCCAAGCCCGCTGCGTTTCTGCGTTTCTGCGTTTCGCGCTCCATGAGCGCTCCTCCGCCCGCCGAAGCGCCCGACCGCCGCGACCGCGGCGCGCACCTGGGAGCGCCCCCGGGAGCGCGCGAACGAGCGAGCGACGAGCGACAGCAGCGCCTCAGCCCGCTCCTGCTCCTCCCTGCTCCTCTCCATGCCCTCCGGCTTGCCTCCTTGCCTCTCTCCCTCGCGCGCCCGTGCCGCCCCTCCTGGCGAAGGGCAGCCGCTGAGCGGACCAGGCCGCGACGCGCGAAGCGCGGTGATCTCCGCTCCCCCGCGGGAGCCGGCGCTGCTCCCCCCCCGGCGCTCCCCCCGCCGCAGCCGGCAGCTCTGAATGGCCCGGCTTCCTCTCTTCCCGTCGCGCTGGGGTTCCTCCTCCTCCTTCCGTGCGCTGTGGCCTTAGATTGCATACGTTGCCTACCCGCCAGAGCAGTCGCCCTCTGCCCAGCCGCCGACGCAATACATATATATATATATATATATATATATATATATATAT